TGCTCACAGGGTCGATGGGATCAACTATCAGATGTGATTGCGATGGAGGTGGAGGTGGACTAGGTTGTTACAACCGTCCACTTCTGGTGAGAACCTTGACCTCAAGGTCTCCCCAAACATCTTCACTTGTGCCAAGAGACGAACAGGCTATATCTTTGAGATAGACGTCTTCATCATCACTATCCCAAATTCCATTCACTTCTTCATAACTCGAGACGAATACAACTTCCGGAAGAGGTTCATTCACAGGTTGAATGAGTATTGACGGATCAAGGGAGACTTCATCTCCCATGATAGCCAAAGCATCAGAAAGAGGACCTGTTTGAATGTTAGGCTTCTTGCCCCCTGGAGGGACAGGAAGTTGATTAGCATCAATTAGGTCTTGGATCGCATCCTTCAACCTCCAACACTTCTCAGTATTATGACCCTTACCTTGATGAAACTTGCAATAAGCATTGGGATCATAGCTAGCGGTCCTATTCTCTGGTCAAGGTTCTGGAAATGGTCCAATTGGCATAATCAGTCCTTAACCGTGCAAATGGTCAAAAGCAGCATCATAATTCATTCCCAAAGGCGTGTAAACCCTCCTTTGCCTTTGGAATCTTTGAGGAGGAGCGTTAAGGGCCAGCACATCATTGATATTGATATTGTTGGTAGCGTTATTGGGCATGGAAGACGAAGAAGAAGGAGTGTCGTTCTTCTTGTTTTTCCAAGTGTTGTTATTATAGTTGCTACCAGCAGTCTTCATCAGTTCATCCTCGATATTGATCCCAATATCGTATAAAGCTTCAAAGGTACTCAGAGGCAGAAACTTCAAGTGTTGCTTGTACTTATGAGTCAGATTGGCAATGAACAAGCGAACCATCTCTTTTTCCTTGGGGGATCCACCAAGAGCGCGGTTGTTTCCTTCCACCTACTTAAGTAAGTGGTGAAGCCTTTATTCTCATTCTGTTTGAGAATGGAGAGTTCACGTTCAGAAGTCTTGGCCTGGATGCTACACTTGTAACGATTCATAAAGCTTTCAACAACATCCTCCCAGGTCACGACATGTTTGGATTCCAAAGAGTAGAATCACTGTTGACAGGCATGCTCCAAGGAAAGAGGGAACACTGTAGGGAAGAGTGTCACATCTACTCCCTTAATAGCCATGGTTGCAGAAAAAGCCTTCAAATGGAAAAGCGGATTATCAGTAGGTTTGAACTTGGGAATGTCAGCAGTGGAAAACTTCTCAGGAAGCTTGTCCCTTATGGACAAAGAAGTGACAGGTTGTTCCACATAAGTGAATTCTTCAGAAATCGTACTCATCTGTTCCTTAATCTTGTCCATTGCAGCGGCAGTGACATTGTTTTGATTGTTTTTCTCTACCGTGTTGACTCTAGTGGTGAGTGATTGCATCATGTTAGACAACATTTCAATTGTCTTGTTGATGTTCTCGATATCTTCTTTATTAGCCATTGGTTGAAAGTAGACTGGAGATGAATCTTTTGGAGATGATTGTGGTGGTTTCCTTGTACGCCTCTTTGGTATAAGAGGTTATTGAGGTATTGACTCGATCTGTAACAATCTACCCCTGCTTCTTGACCAAGTGCTGTGACACCGAAACAAACACACCTTTAATGACTGAACTTAACCTTAACCCATCCGGAAAAATAAAGAATAAAAAATTTGAATTTTAAAAATCTATAACTTTGAAATTCTATTTATTTATTTTTATTTAAAAAAAAATAAAAATATGGGAGGATACTATCCGACTTACTCCGGAAAAAAAACGACACAAAAAAAGACTACCCTAAAATACGGTCAACAAGTGGTGCACGACTAAAGAAAAAAGTGTGTGAATACGACATGTGAATGATTAAGTGAGGTTATGGACGCGTGTTATGACCGTACAGCTATACATGACACCAAACTGGACACATAAACCACATACGTACGCGCACAAACCGAAAAAAGACTAATGGGACACTTTTCCTGGGCACCGTGTCACGGTGTTGACTGTCGTGACACGGTGCAGCCTACCGTCAGACGGTAGAAAGCGTCGTGTCACGGCACTGTTCACCGTGGCGCGGAAGAACGTGTTGTGACACGGTGCGCAGTTCCTGGTCTGTTTTGTGATTTTTCCAGATTTTAGTCTATTTTAGGTCCGTACTAATTACTATGTGGAAATAAAAACCCTCGGACAGGGGTTAAACAAAAAAGAGTAAACACATGAAGGTTAGCACCGAACATACCATGTAGCACTTAGTCACGATGATGTAAAAAAAGTTCGCAACCTAGAGTCAAGATCTATGTTCAACTATTGGTCAAGCTTTGGGTGTCAAAAGGGTATCATGGTTAAGAGTTTGGACGCGTTAGCAAGGCAGCCTCCCTTGAGGGTGTATGCCAACGGGCGGCTCTGCGAGTTCGTGATGAAATTGAACTCGACTCCATGGTTTGGGTGGATTTAATAACTCGGATGAACCCTTATTGCCATGAGTGTTTTGGGTTGATAGAGCTTAAATCCCCCGGGGCTAAGACGCATGTAGAACACACACGTTTTTTCAGAAAAATCGAAGGAAGTTGACTGTGAGAAGAGAAAATAAGCCACCGGACTGATTTTAGGACTGCCGTGTCACGGCAAAGATTCCCGTGCCACGGTACGGCACACTGTCAGCCGGTGCAGTGTACCGTGACACGACAGATTTTTTCGTGGCACGGCAGTCAAAAAATCTGACTGGTGCCCTGTTTTCCTTCGTACACAATCAAGTTATTCAATTTTTCCTACGGGACAGACCTAAATGCGACATTAAAACGTCTATGCGTATACAAAAATGCCAAATTAATCACAGGAATATTTTTCAAGAATCTTTCAAGTCTCATCCACTCATATTAATTAAATATCGATCACTTAAATCGATAAATAACCAAGAATCCTCCCCAGTGGAGTCGCCAAATTGTAGACGTCACTCGAAATGCGCCTACGTTAAAGCATGTGTGAATATACTTAGCACTCATAGGAAGTGGGAATTGACATACGATTAGGGACACGATTAGGGACAAGGAAAGTAGGGAGCCGCCAACAAGTTTTTTAAGGAATTTGTAAACCGTTCACGGATCATAAAAAGGCAACCACGATAAGGGACAACGATAGGAAACAACGATTGACCCGTGAAGGTTACACCCCAGTCATAATCCATGAGATTACTAACTCCATATGGTTCGGAACCACGAAAGGAGGATCGGGGATGATGGTACGAAGTGAGTCATGGAGTCACATTCGCCCGTATTGGCCTCTACTCGATTCTTATAGTGAAAAATGATTCATGCGGTCTCAAAGGCATACAAACAAAATATTCAATTCGCTCCAAACTATTATTATGCTTAATTGGTTGAATATTAATGCAACACTAATTCTAAAATATTTGTGATCACTTGAATTAATAACAAGATTAAAAAGGATCCTAAACCGGTTGTCCAAATTATCTTATTAGGCGTGATTTTCAATTACATATTCCCTTTAAACATGCAATATGGTGATCATAAAAAATAATAGAATAAATATTAATATTGGAAGCAATTTAACAATAAATCCAACAATATAAAATCGTTAGAAAAGAAATAAAAGAAACATAATTCTTACTTTGATTCTGTTTGTTTGCAACTACAAAATAATAAACGAGTTAGTAACTTCAAGGAAATAATAATAAAACAATAGTTAAATTAAATTAAATAAAGTAGAGTTGATTTGGGGCCAAACCCTCAAACAGTTCTACCTTTCACGCCTTGGCTTAAGGACAGAACCACGAGTAAAGTATGGACTGCTAGGAGTACTTGAGGAAGGAATTTTGAAATAAGAAGGGTAGGCTAATGTTTAGGATATAGCATAGAAGAGAGAAAAAACTAGAAAATTAATTGATGCCCCGTACATCAGAAATGGGGGGGATTTATAGAGAAAATGTGCTGAGGGAACACATGGAACCCTAAAATGATAAAAACCCTAAAAAAATATCTCGTGACACGGCAAACTGTACCGTGACACGGGAAGTCCCACCGCCAGACGGGAAACATTCCCGTGACACGGTGCAATTTTTGTGTGATGCGGGAAATATTTAGTAAACGGGGAAGAAAACGCGTTAAGGGTTTACGCGAAAAGGACACGGAAATTCCCGTGTCACAGCAGGTTTCCCGTGTCACGGGAAATCCCACCGTCAGACGGGAAAGTTTCCGTCTAAATTCATTTTTAACCCTAATTTCGTTCAGCATTTTAAGTGCCGATTGATAATTTCGGGAATTTTCCTGATTTATTGTTATTTGGGCTAAAATACGAAAATAAGCAAGTAAAATAAATTAAAGGTTTGGGCCAAAAATAAATAATTAAACAATAAAATAAAAAAGGTTTGGGCCAAAAATAAATAATAAGTTTGGGCTGAAATTAAAACTATGCTTTTACCAAACATCAAGACTAATCCATGGACTATTCAAAAATACGAATTTAATCAAATACGATTTTTTAAGCACTCTCGGGATTAAATACTAAACCCGACCAATAGTAGCGGTGAAAGGTTGTTCATCATCGGGTTTGGTTTTGGGGAGACATTTTTAGGTGTCTACATCTATATATTTTCATGAACGATCAATGAGAAGGTAATCCACACAATTACATTTTCTCTCTAATTTAGCAATTTACAACTCCCCACCAGTGAGTGCGACTCATTTCGCTGGGGTTTATCCATCCTGCCATGCTTTGGTTGCGGGAAATTTTCTCTTATTTCGGCTACTTTAGATTATTTGCTGCTTTGGATTTTAATTTTTTGGGAAGCTTGCATTTGCTCTATTGTAAGCATGCTTCTTTTGTTCTTCTGGTTGGTGCGGTGTACTTGGGGTTTAATTCAATCTAATTCTCCTCTTTTCCCTTAGAAAATTAATGTCATATTAAGCATCCACATTTTCTATTTGCTTTACATGCATGCCAAGGCGAATTTGCAAAGTTGTACAGTTTACTGTGACGAATACGAAGCAAGTTGAAAAAGACAATTAAGAAGTTTGAAGTTTCAAACCTTTCAAACAAGCTTGTTGGATGAAATTGCGAGAGTATTATGAAAGTAGCCTAGATAGTAGATACAAGTCATACAACATAAAATCCCTTTCCCGGTTCCATTCAAACCCCAACAAGGTCGAAGACAGCCAGAAAGCAGAGAACGTCTACAGCTAAGAGCCCAAGGATGCAATTTAGAAAGTTATGCGAGCAAAATCCCAAATAATGTGACAAAAATGGATCAGAATCCCCTAACTGATGCCTATGCACTTTCTGATAACCTACAGATCTTCAACGGTATCCCTTCAGAGAATCGGCAGTCTTCCCTGATCTTGCATCAGTCCAAGCTTTAGCAATGGTTTTCTTCATTTCCTCATCCCCTTCCTCATACATATTCTGCAAAATTGAGGAAGTGCATGTTAATGCAAACATCAAAGCCTATGAACTTCAGAAATAATTCAAAGTCATTCCGGCAATCTCACTAAATCAAGCCCAGAACAACAGTATAGCTTGCAGGCTTACCCATTAATCAACACCACAATATTAAAAAATGTAAAGATTTAGAAGATACCTTCATAAGATCCATTATACCAGCCATAGGATCCTTTTCCTTGTCTAGATTTGGCTTCAGCTGCATCAACCAAAACCAAATAAATAAGAAAACCACACATAACAATACTTAATAATTAGGTTATTTTAACATGTGATTGGAAATCATTTTCATAATATTGAGTTAAATTTCACCCCCATAGTACATGGAAATTCTTTGCCAACAAATATCATTCACGTCTATATGGTATGCAATATAAAATGAGGATAATGGGAATATGTTTACATATAGTCTGACAAGGGAAGTCTCATGCCACTGTCTGATTAAAGCATGTGTACCACGAGTATTTCAAGTTCATCGTGGATATTGATCACCACTTAAAAGTTAAAACCAGTACTAAAGTACTCCGTAGTAATAAATTTTATTCATACATGGTTAGGGAAGGAACAACACTATGTTACTCGGACTCAGGTACCCCATGTCCGACACGGGTATGTGTCAAGTATCCAACTCGGCTATTTTGTGAAACAATTCTATGATTTTGAACTAAAATAAAATGTCCGAGTGTCATACCCATGTCCGAGTGTCGAGGGTCCGACAAGGGTACTTGAGGTAAAACGAAGAGTCCAATAACATAGGAGCAACATGCCATGAATAGTATGATATACTACCTCCGGATCGTATTATATGCAACTTTGAAATTTTTTATGATCCAGAGGTAGTATGTTAAATACAAAGATATAATTCATAGTCTATTAAACAAGTCAAAAGGCTAATATAAAACAGTACAAAATTCAGCTTCAAAGGGGTATTATTTGTGAGACATAGAATATTCCTTTGTCGCAGATAATAAGAAATAGAGGTAGTATTATTTCTTAGCATAAAATTGTGGCCTAACAATTTGGGATGGAGGGAGTAATTTACATCATCAACCAATCAATCAATCAATCATTCGTTCAAAGCCTTAATCCCATAAATGGGGTCATCTACATGAACCAAATTTGATTATTTTGGTAATTTACATCATAGTGACAGAAAATTACCTTGTCCTCTTTGTAATGCAAATCTTGCCAACTCCCTTTCGAAGCTTTGACCAAATGCACAATTACCCTTGTGGGCTTGATCATGACTTTGGTTTGGTCTGGAACAATATCTTTATTAAATTTGGGTATGGCAAATTGATAAATTTTCCCCTGCACATCATGAAACTTGAACTCAATAGAATTTGGGCTGATGTTTTTCTCCATCTTTTCTTCCTGCACTCCCTCTAGAGACAGATATATCTGCAAAATGCAGATATGAATATCAGTATCCAGATTTAGAAAGATCTGGCTCAAATACTTGAGGGTCATATCTTGGAAAGTAACTGGTCAGAGATCAAAAGGTCTAACAGAACTCAAAATTTTGTAACTACTCTTTATCTACGAGACCTAGTTTAGGAAAATTAATAATAAATAAAGAGCAAGAAGCTGGGCTATTATGAGGTGGCATTAGGTTTATCAAAAATTTCTCCCTTGAGAACAAAGTGCAGATCCTCACCTTTACTTTATCATTGTCCTGTTCCCAGCTGAAAGATGAAAGAGTAGTATATGTCTGTGTGGGAGTGTAAGGCACCTTTGTTGTTGCCATAGGAATTGGAGTAGGATGCTGGGGAGCTGAAGAAGAAGCTTTTTCTTTTGACAACTATGCACGAAAAATGTTATAGACAATCAGAATCAAATAAAGATGAATACACTAAACCTACACTGCTCAGATTCAGCTCAAACACATCCCAAAAAGGCAATAAGATTAAAACAATGAGAACATAAGGTAAAAATCAGTCAAACTGTAATCACTACAAAAGGCACCTTATTCAATTCTTTGAGACTAGAACAAGGCACCTTATACCAAAATTAACAAATCAAGGAAGATTCACAAATAAAAACATCTAAAAAAAAATAAAAGATAAACATCGCCAAATTGCCATACGTACATGTTAATGAATTAAACCATAGCTTCTTACCTAAAAATTAGACAAGGAATCTTACTTCTTATGATTCCATGGAAAAAAGATCTAATAGGTGTAGAACCAACAGTAAATGAAGCAAATTACCTAAATATGATGATATAGATATCAGATAATTTGAGATTTGTACTCATGATTTCCCAAGAAGGTCATTTAAAATGAGTACAAGGTAATATATCAAGATGAAAGACAAAGTAAATAATGATAGCCCTTTAAAGCAATCTTATAATCCGGCCTTTTAAATGCTACTGCCCAATCACACATTGGCCTTCAGCTACCCAGAAAAAAGGCTAAACTCAATACATGATAATGATAGAACATATATACACACTTCAACAGTCAACTACAGGTCACAAGCAGTAACTAAGTTCACAACTGTAACTCTATACGCTCATACTTTGCCAATGCTTGCAACAGCTGAAAGAAAGCACTCATAGCCAGAGATATTCTCTAATCTCAAGTCTATATGTAGAATTCTGTAGCATACTCGGATTCTTCATATTACATCAAGTATCCATATCGAATCATGGATATATAAGTTGAAAACTTTCTTCTTCATTTTTGACCAAAATCATAAATTCTACAAATAAAATAGTCCGACACTTGACACGTACCCATGTCGGTCATGGGTACTAGAGTTTGAGCAACATTGCCCATCCTGTAACACTATACAAATATCAAAATTAGGTTCTTATACATTGGTGTGTGGACATGGATTAGCACACAGTTAAAACTAAGAGAAGGCCCAAATGATACCATATTAACATAATGATATTAGCTGAGTTCTAATTCTAATTTCAGTCAAAATAAAGAAATCTTTGGCCTTACAAGAAATCCAACTTTGAATAACATTTCAATAAGAATGGAGTGAGTATAAAGTCAACTAACATATTTGGCAATTAAATAATTCATGATGCAAGCTTATAGCAACTGCATGCTTCCCGCAATGACTAAGTTAATCATCAAGGAGTCCCTACTACTATGGTCCTCTCAAGATAGTCATGGTCAGAACATCCTATTTCCCAAGATCCTTCCAAAGCACACATCCCATGGCCAAGGGTATCAATGGTTCCCACCAATGTAGGATCCATAGCCGGTGTGGACCTAAGCCATGCTAGTTCCTTCATGGGGTGATCTCCTTAGCCTACACCATGACAGATGACGAATTTAGTATCATGAAGCACTTCCTTGGCATTCAAGTAATGAAAACCAAGGAAATAATATTCATTAACCAAATGAACTCAGCCTTGGATATCCTAATGAAAATATCCATGTGAATTAGAAATAAAACATCTATAGGAGTTTTGTTTGTTCCATTAATTCACCCAGTAATCTACCATTTAAAATTGTAAGAGGATCTGACAGAGTTACACTATTTGGTCTATATCCAATTCCACAAGAAAAACAGAATTGAGGGACCAAATGGAAGGAAATGAAGAATTGATTGACTACAGTAGCAATGTTTATGTTTGCAAAGCTACATAATTTTGGGTTTTTCTATATAGTAACCCTGTTAATTTCACTTTTATACGTTGTGCCCCAACATATATCACTTTCCACACTGTAAACCCAATATACTTTTGTTTCCATACGGTAACCTTGCCGTTATCCCACCGTTAAAAAATCCGTTAGTGGGGCCCACTCTTAATTTCTCTTTTTTTTATATATTTGTGCGTTAGAAAATATTCTATTAAAGGGTTTTGAGTCTATTTTGGACCTTAAAGAGCCAAATAAAGCTCAGATTTGGCCAAAAAATAACTTAAATGCCTCATTTTGCTTATTAAGTAATGTCCCGATTTACGTGTTCACGTTTTAATACTTATAACAAGACATTTACATTTTTTTTTTTTTTTTGAAATCTGAGTTCAATTTGGACCCTTAAAGGCTAAAATAGCCCACAAAACCTTTAACGGAACATTTTTCAGCGCGCAAATTGATTAAGAAAAATTTAATAAATTGAGAGTAGGCTCCACTAACGGAAATTTTGACGGCGGGATAACGACAAGGTTACCATGTGGAAACAAAATATATATTGGGGTTACAGTGTAGAAGGTGATATATGTTAGGGCAAAACGTAGAAAAGCAAAATTAACAGAGTTACTATATAGTAAAACCCTAATTTTTCCGCATATACTACGCATTTTTCTAATCTGATATGCATTATGCTTAACAAGGCACAATATAGTCTACGTAGTGCGGTTGATTATTTATTTTTCTAATCTGATGTGCATTATGCTTAATATAGTCTGACTAAACTTTAACTGCAAGTTTACAATAATGTATAAGAAAAAACATTAATATGTGGGATCTTGATATTCAGATCAATGTGCACACTGCACAATATATAATTATCAAAAAATTATCATTATGCAATTAGAGAAATATAGTAATTAGTAAATGATCGATGAAAATAAGTATGGAGTAATAAGTTTTTGAAGTAAGTTGACAAACAACAAGTTGTTAAACATTAGGTTAACAATCTAAATTAATCATCTATAATTGAACATTCAAATTTAGCAGTACTTCAAATCAGTAACAAGGCATTTAAACTATTCATCTATACAAACTAAAAATTGAATATTACTTCGTATATCAATAACAAATCTTAATATATGAACAAAAGCAAAGACAAGTTCACAATCATTTTCTGATTTCCTCAAAAGCTAGAATTGATTCCATAACTGTTAAATCACATTTTAACTTCAAAATTTATCAGAGCCTGAATTGCATTCATCTTTGAATATGAAAGCAAATATCATTGCAATTGTAGTTTAGATACAAATAAACAGCAAATCAGGAAAAAAATATATGAAAATTTGAAATTGAAATTTCAAACACAATATTCAGACAAACAATAATTCATTTTCTTTCAAAAAATATAAAAATCATAAATTCAAACACAATAACCCTAGAAATCAAAATTTACTTCAGACAACATATAAACATCGGAAATTTGTTAAAAAAAAAGGTGATGAAGAACCTTTTCTAAGTTGTGAATTTCAGAGGAAATGAGATAGATGACGCGAGGTCTCTTAGCAATGGATTGCAGGTTGCGAAGCTCTTCCAAGTCCAGTGAAAAATCATCCGCCATTTTTGCTTAATTCTTCTCTCAAAAATTCAGGGTTACTTTGAAATGAGAAAATTGATTGGATTTAGAAGATGATGACTAGAGTAGAATAGAGAATAGTGTAGAAATTTCTAGGAAAGCCTTTAGTTTGAAGTTTAGAGTGTAGGTTCTAGAGGGTTCTTAAGAAGATGATACGGAGTACAATATTGGATTTTGGTGTATACGTGTTGCACTGCTTCATTTACCGCTTAGGTGGTCAAGGCTCAAGGGTCGAGCTAAAGGTCCAGCTAAGTTGAACAGCCGGTAGCCATTATACAAGGCTTCATGGTTCACCTTATTAAAAAGAAAAAGATTTATGCAACCCTATAAAAAGCTAAGGCTATATATATGAGAAGTTAAAAGTGGATAGAATTGACAATAAATAGAAATTCATTATATTAAGGAAATTTTGTGAGAATCCACCCATTAAAAACACGTTTTTGTCAAAAACCACCCAAAAAAAAATTTATTGTCTAGGACCACCCATTTTCAAAAAAATGTTGTTAAACGCCACTGGAGTCTATATTCCGGCATTGACCTAGACTCCGGCGTTGACCCTTCCCCGGTTCCCCCCTTCTATTTCCCCCCTCTTTTTTTTTTCTCCTCTTCTCATTTGTATTTGCCGTTGTTGTTCTTCTTTTCTCTTCTCCTTTCTCTTTCCTCTTCTTCTTTGCTATATGCTGCTCTTCTCCTTCTTCTTTCTAGGGGTGTCCATAATTCGGATAAAAACCGAAATTCAATCCAATCAAAATCGAATTATCAATTCGGATTGGATCCAAACTTTAAATCGGATCGGATCGGATTGAGATTTTTTGGAAATTCGGATTTTCGGATTGGATCGGATTGACCCTAATTGGATCCAATCCAAACCGAAAACCGAATTATAAAATTAAGCTTGTATAAATATGGGTTTTTGTATATTTTGAAGTTTAGCTTAAATACATACTACTACATAAAATAAGTTAGAGAGACTTTGTATTAATTAATTAATGACTTGACGTTGAACTATTTATTTTAATCATGATTTTGAGGACTTTTATTTATAGTGAAGCTTTATTTTTATAATTGTATTACGCGCTAAAAAATAATGTATTATAATTCGGATTTTCGGATCGGATCCAAATAACCGAATTGTAATTCGGATTGGATTGGATCAAGAGAGAAATTCGGATCGGATCGGATCGGAAAATTGAAAACCGGATTATATTTCGGATTTGATCGGATTTGGACTAAATCCATACCGAAAACCGAACGGACACCCCTACTTCTTTCTCTCTTTTCTTTCCTCTTCTCTTTCTCTCTTCTCTTTCCTCTTCTCCTTCCCTTTCTTTTTTCTATTTTCTTTTTCGTCGGCGAAGGGTTGGGTCACGACGCCATTTTGATCTTCTTGCCGAGGTCGGGTGGAGGTGCGGTCGACACGAAATTGATGGTTTTCTGGTCAAATTCGACCATGAAAACTCTAGATCTAGAGTTTTCATGGTCGAATTTGACCATATAAAACCAAATTCGAGGTGACATTCAAAGCAAAATTCGATTAAAGGTATGTTTTCTTGTTTTTAATGTTTTAAAAAAAATTATTTCGTTAAGTTTTGGGTTGTTTATGTGGTTTTGGGCGGTTGTGGTGGATGGTTTTTGGTGGGTAGTTGGTCGAAATAGGTAGGGTTAGGGTGGTAGTTCTGGGTTTTGTTTGTGTGGGTTTAGGTGATAGATCTAGTTTAGGGTATGGTGGGTGGGTTCGGATTAGGTGGGTTTAAGATCTGGGTTAGTTGGTGGGTTAGGGTTAGGTTGGTAAGGTGGTGACCTGGTTCTGGTTGGTGGGTTCGGGTTAGGTTGGTAAAGGTGGTGGATGGGTTCCGGTAAGGTGGGTTAAGGTGGTAGTTAGGGTTAGGTGAGTGGTGGGTGGGTTAAGGTGGTGCGATTTGTGGGTTAAGGCAAGTAAATTGGTTAAGCGTAGTGGTCGTGGTGGCTAGAAGCGGTGGTGCGGGGTTTTTTTTTTATGGTTGGAGTCAACGCCGGAGTTTTGGGTCAATGCCGGAAAATAGACTCTAGTGGCGTTTAACAACAATTTTTTGAAAATGGGGGGTACTAGACAACAAATTTTTTTTTTGGGTGGTTTTTGACAAAAAAGTGTTTTAACGGGTGATTTCTGACAAAATTTCCTTATATTAATTTACTCATAAATGGTAGATAAATTTTAATTTATACTCAACTAAAAATGAAGTTTAAGGACTGCATATAGCATTATCCTCTTAAAAAATGGAAGAATTAACATTAATAATCTCAACTTTGGCTCATTCGTCCAAATTAAACTCAACTTTAGAGTATTTTTTACTAATTTGAACTTTAATTCGAATTTTCTTCTAATGGTTCCAATCGATTTTTAACTTGTGATAATAAGTTACTTGACACATGTTGGCGTGTAATTGGAAAAAAATATTTTAAAATTAAATTAATTTTTTTTTAAAAAATAATTAACTAAAAAACCCACCACCCCCTCCCCTAGTAACCCACCAACCCTCCCTACCCCCACCACCCTGTCCAACTCCACCCCGCTCTAATCCCCACCCCCATTGCGACCATGCCCAAACCAACCCCCTTCTTCGCACTGGCGCTCCCCCCTACCCCTACCTCTGTAATATTAATATCTGAAAACGTGTTTTCTTGTAGTGGTCTTTGATTTAGTTTAAATTTTCAAAGATGAAATGATGTATCCTTTTTATTTATTACTATTAATCAAAGAAATATTTATAAATTATGTTTCGTATATACCAGCTAGTAGAAGATACACGCACATTTTGTGTGCAATATAAGAAATCTATATGGCTCTATCTTTTTTAATATTATCTAATAACTTATTCTAATGAGCTAAATATTAATGGGTTTAAAAATTATTGAAGTCATGGAGACGCATATTAGAATATGACTTCGGTTAAAAAAATAATTAAAAAAAAGGTAGTTTTTTTAAAAAAAAAATAGATGGTGGTTGTTTCAGGTGATTTTGTGTCCTTTGGGAGAGTTACAACTCGAAGATTGAGTCCAACGAAGCGGCCTGTACCTGCAAGCCAACGAAGCTCCGGATGTTTAGAGGTCCGCCTCCGAAGATTAAGTTACTACGGATTCGGAGTAAAACGTGCTGAAAGTAAATATCTTCTCGGATTCCGAGATCTAGTGTTATCTGTTTCCGAGAGCAATAAATTATGTAATGATTAAGACGTGCCCCAATAAATGGGAGAATCTCCCAATTTATAGGGTCCTAGAAAGGTGTGCCCTACCCTATGATTTGATGACCTAGAGATTTAGGCTGCGCCGTTTTGCGGCTACCTTGGGAATAGGGCCTTGAAGACCGCCAATTCCTGAGGGGATATCTGCTTAACACGTGTCGGCCCCTGAGAGGTCCATTTGGAGGCCTTCTCAGCTGACATGTGGCAAGCTCTTATTGTGCCAAGTGGCAGGGTAGAAATACCTAAATCATTTGCCCCTAACAGGGGTCACGTGGGATGTGTGTTAGGGCGCTTGTTACACGTGTCCTTTAGTCATTTGTTCGGCATTTTACCGTTTATCATGGGTAGAATCTAGGGTTTTACCCTAGACTTTTCACCCTTTCTGTAAATAGGGGTTGACCCCTCATTATGTTCAACGTTTGAGTGAATTTTTAGAGAGAATCTTTGAATCTTTGACTTTGAGAACTTGTCTTCTTCAGTGAAAGCATCCAACGCTCGACTACCAGTCCGCCTGTAAGCAGATGACCAGATCTTCCAAGCGGCTCATCTTACCTTCACTTAGTAAGGTAACCGTCTGTTCTTCTTTTTTAATCTTTGTTTCTTTTATTTTTTCAAAAATGGTTTCCCAAACGCACCCGGCACGGTCTGTGCAGGACTCCCCTTTGGGAACTTCTCCAAATCTGATATTGTTTGTGCCTATGCAGGACACCATAGGCAGAACGAGGCAAACCAGTAGGAAGTACAGGATGGATGGTACCTGATACCATTCGGAAAGCTCGACTGTATGTTCAAAGGGCTCCGTTAGGGTGCCTACTACCAAAATTCATGATCACCCGCCCAGCGCTGTTAGTACCCCAAGCTCCTCAATTTTGGAGGAGTTGGGTGATGAACAACAAGTTCCCGGGCTAAGTGATTCGATGCCGGATGAGGAAATGGGGGAGGACACTACTAGCACTAGCCAGTACGCCTCCAACTTGGACGATAGCTTTGATGATGACTCTGATTTATCATCTTTTGACAGCGCCTCCATTAACTCGGAGGAGGCGTGTTCAAAGTTAAATTCTGCTAGAGAGTCCCTATCAATTAACAGGGGCAAAGGGTGGGCTGAGCCGTATGCCTTGCGTCGGCTAGAGCATGCGCCCTATTATTTGCATGTTCCCAAGGGCAGACGGGATAAAATGGCTGATGAATTTAGGAAGTTCATCTCCAACCATGTCATGGGACATGAGTTTCTACTCTCTGTGCTGGATGTTGTGGATACAGTCGTCTGGCCAGAGGAGGCCAACTACGATGACTAATGCTTTGGCTACTATGAGGCGGCCATTCAAGCTGGTCTGCGCTTCCCTCTCCATCCTGCCGTGGAGAGGATCTTAGATGGATACCAATTGGGAATCTAGCAACTAGCCCCTAACTCTTGGGTCAACATAATGAGCTATGTTGCCGCATATGAAATGCTGGAGTTACATCCCAACTTTGAGGCATTTTCCCATATGCATTACCTAAGCAAAACCCCACAATCAAGTGGAGCCGAATGGTTCACCCTTATTAGCCATAAGGGGTACATGATGGTAGTGGGGAAGGAGTCCAAATGGAAGGACTGGAGGAAGAAAGTTTACATAGTCTCCACCCTTGATCACCTATAATAGACACCCATTTGTGTCTCCCCAAAATCAGACCCAGTGATGAGTACCTTTCACGTTGTATCATGATCGAATGAAGTGAAAGTGTGGAAAGTTTAGTGTTGCGGAAAGTTTTAATTTCTTTTCTCTTCTCTCTGTTTTTGAAAACCTAATTTAAGAAAACAGCCAATCCAATTTGTTTGGTCCATGATATGGGTCCAATAATAGTGTAGTTGAATGGGGCTTGAATAGAGCTTTCCAACGATATATTATAAGCCCAATTCCGATGAATGATGAGGAAGTTATGGC